GTTGTTGATGAGGAAGATGAGCTGGTCTCTTCTGGAGGGAAACTCTGCCGCCATCTTCAGCACAAAGTTTTCAACCTCAACCTGCAAAACAAACGTGCATCTTATCAACAGTCTGACAAATTCACCAGGAAACTCTTCCTCCTCCACCAGAGACGTTTCCTCATCAGTCGTTTGTTTCACTGCCGACTCCACCACCAGGGGGCGTGACGCACATTCAGAAGTATTGGCTGCTCTAAATGTGTGTGTGTGTGTGTGTGTGTGTGTTACCTGCAGCTGTCCCAGCAGAGCGTGTGTCCTCTCGTTGGGAAACGTCTGATTGATACTGACGATCGCTGACGAGAACTCTGCATAACGACGAGTGATCTGAAACAAAACACACACTCAGGTCACTAACACACAAATACACACATACACACTCCTGTGTGATGTTGTTACGTGTGTGTGTGTGTGTGTGTGTGTGTACGTACGTAGTGTGGTCTGGTGTCCAACACTCCCAGTTTCTGAGGGTCTGTGTTTCTGATGCTGTGAATGTTCATCTCCAGAATCAACTCGAACCTCGGCCACAGCAGCTCCAGCACGGCCTCCCAGTACCTGACACACACACACACACACACACACACACAACAACACAACAACACATGACGAGGCCACAGGAAGAACTTCATGAATTTCCTGCTTCGTCGGTTCAGAATTTGAAAAAGACGCTGATAACAAGTTTGTCTTCCTCGTTGGTGTGACACTGACTTGTCGAGGGCGGGGATGTTCCTCTTGGCGGTGATGGCTCTGAACCTCAGGATGATGTGGATGCACAGGAAGACGGCGATGCTGTCGTAGCAGTCGGACACGTATGTGGACATGCTCTTCTGCGGGGACAGACGCAGAGAACACGACACTGAGACGTTGAGTCAGAATGACGCACGAATGCTGATCTGTTCAGTGAACGCATCATTTCAGTTGTTCCTGAACGCAGCATCAATATCACCTGAAACCGCTGGAAGAGGAGGAGCTAACATTTAAAATAACCACTGAGTGATGAAGTGAACTAAACGTTGAAGTCTGGGCGGTCGCCTCCTTCGTACCAGGAACATGCTGAGGGTTTTTCCCATGATGCTGTTGAAGAGGTCGAGGGCAGAATTCCCTGTCACCATGAAGAAGTCGGACAGGAACAGGAACTCTCTGCAGCCGTTGTCCAGTAAAGCGTAGTGCTGACTGCGGAACAGGGTCTCATATGGATACTGAGGAGAAGAGAGAAATATGTGAATATTATATTTATCTTGCAGTAGCTGTTCTAACCAACCAGGATGTTATGATTCCACTGCAGCTTCTCTCCATCTGACTGCTCATGATTAACATAACTTTTTATTATAAGTAAGTCCGAGCTTCAACTTCCTGTTTTCAAAGACGACGTCTTTCTAGTTTAGTAAAAGAAGCTTGTCTCAGCGTCTCGGCTGCTTCTGATCAAAGACGTTTCAAAGATCACGACAACAAAGACACATGATGTGAGCTGGTGTTTTAACAGAAGTCTAAAAGATGAGATATCGTGTTCCGAGGCCAGAAAATCCCAAATCAGTTCATCTGTGAGACTAAAATCTCTTTTACACTGAAACCAGATTCACTGTGGTCGTCTACTTCCTCCTGTTTGTGTCAGTGTGTCAGACGTCTCACTCTGCTGTCTCCTCTCTGAGCCGTGTGTGGAACCAGGATGGGCCCCTCCAGCTCGGAGGGGCTCAGGATCGCCCCCCTCTGGCCGACAGTGAAGATGGTGTTCCTGCTCTTCAGAGACGGTTTGGAGAAGAAACGTGCGGCAGCAGCGAGTCAAGGATCCTCAGCTCCACAGAGTCTCACGACCTGATTCCTGCCTCGTCATCAGTAATCACACATTACATAAATCACGCATCACTGCCCCGGTGTTCTCTATGTTCGGTATGTATGAGACACACCCACACGCATGTCACTGACCCAGGTAAATATGCACTGTACATTAAAGTGCCTCGCCCACACACACATGTACTGAATGTCCCGAGGCCACGTCGTCTCATTTTCACTTTGTCTCTGCCAGGTCTGAGCGTAACCGTCTCATTTGCATATTTCAATGTGTCATTCAGGAGATTTCAACGACCTCACACTTCACTGCCAAGTCTCATAAAAGGAGTTAGTCTTTGTTTTGATGGACGATCTGTCACACGCCTTCTAATCACCCACGTCGCCAGACACAAGATGAGTCACTTCCTGTTTTCATCAGTTTGAATTGATTCTATTGATGAGGTTTTTTTTAATCTGCGAGTTTTACACTTCTCCTTTATTTTCTTTCTCTCTTTCTTTATCCTGTATTCTATATTTTCATGAATTTATTATACATGTCCTTCTTCTATGTTTATTGATGTCTTCATTATTCTAAATGGTGTTTGTTGTTCTGGGTTCCAGGTCTGACGCTGTGAACGTCTGGAGAACACACATGTTGAAGGATATCTTTCTTGGCTGTGTCTTCTACGCCCATCAGGTCGTCTTTGTCTGCCACCTCCTCGTACTGTGGACAGAATGTGAGGACAGTTCTTTAAGTTCCTCTTCAGGTTGATCATTTGAATCAGTGTTATTTCTGTAAAACGTTCTCGTGCTCTAATGTTCAGAAAACACATCCGTCCCGTCTCTTTGAGACGCCCCCTCCTGATAAAGTCTGCTCTGATTGGTCAACAAGGAAACGTCGGCCTCCACTTTATCTCGGAGACTTTTAAAAATGTTTTGTTTCAGTTTCCAGGTTTAGCGACATGTTTCCTCTAAACTGCGTCGGGTCCTCTAATTTCGTGGGTGTGTCAGAGTATATAAGCCCCGCCCTATTAAAGAGGCAGCGACACAGTGGATTGTAGCTGCCGTTTCACATCAACTGAAGATGTAAGAAGAAGTTATAACGACAGAGACTGAAACATAAAGTGTTTGGTTAAACACGTATTTATTGAGTCTGGACATGAATCCTCACGTGATGTTTAATTTTGGACTGAGAGTATTTCGGATATGGAGCGAGGACGCTCGTGTGGACGGAGGTTGTTTTGATCTCGTGTGTGTGTAGCCAGTGACGGAGACGTGTCCAGTGAATGAACCTGAACAAGCTCACGGAGACGACTCACTGACCTGCACTTTGAGCAGCCTGCCGCTGTACGACTTGAAGTAACTGTAGTAAATTTTGCTCATCGTGTCCACGTACTCGTCTCGGATCTCCTTGGCAACCGTCCTCTCATTGGCCAAAAGGAACTGATAGAAAAATCTCCAGAGACGAACAAAGGATTGATTATTTGAAATGTTTCCTCTTTTGTCACTGACACAAACCTTCATCAGTTTTCTCTCACATCTCGTGACCAATCAGATGCTTTAGAGCTGCTCACCTGTACTTCAGCAGAGTGTTCTGTGGTATCTGGTAGTTTGTCATCGGCTTCCTGAAGGAGTAGATCTTCTGAAGGATGAACTCTCTGATCTTCGACACGGCCTGAGACCAGGAAACAGCAGCAGAGTTTGAATCTCAGCTTGTTCTGCGATTTTATTGAAGGTGGACGAGGCAGAGTCAGTGTCACCTTGAGTTTGAGGCGGTCCACGATGTCCTGGATGTCGGAGCACGCCAGCGTCTCTCTGAAGCTCAGCTCTTTGGCAAAGTTGATCTTGTTGTTGAGCTCGTGAAGCTGCTCCAGAAACTCCTGCTCCGTCACTGGACTCTCCAGGATGGTGCTGCGCGACACGGGACAACGTTACACAAACGCTGGACCCTCACATCACAGCACATTCAACCACACGCCACCCACTCACGAGATCATGGCCCCGGGCACCACCAGCTCGTCCACCAGCTGGCTGAGGTGACTGCGCACGGCCTGCCTGTTCTTCAGCCGCACATTCATGCTGACCGACTGCTGCTGCAGCGTCTGGATCTCACTGCTGATGGACGACAGGTCGCTCTGGAAGCCGCTCAGCATTCCCTCCATACGCTGAGAGAACGAACCGTCAGACAGAGACAGATCTGATCTTATTGTAATATATACAGATAAACTCTGCTCACGTGGGAAGCCTGACGCAGCTGCTGGTTTTATTCTTAACGAGCTCAATAAAAGGTTTGAGTTCATTTTTAGGGGTCTGATGGGTTAAAACTGCAGTTCATTAAACTTTGATTTTAATTTGAGACTGAAAAACTATTTGTGGTTGTTTTTTTTCTATGAAAATCTTTGACCATCGATCTGGAGTACAGGCGTCTGGTCTCACCTCCAGTATGGAGTCACAGGCAGTGATCTGGTTGTGCAGAAGAGCGATGTTCTGACTCTCCTTGATGTCTGACAGACGAACTCAGGAAAAACAACGTTTCTCAAAAATCCAACTTTACAACAAACACCAATGTTGATTTAACGTCAGTGGGAACGAACCAAAAGTCTCATCCAGAAAAATATTGTGCATCAGCGGAAGAAAATGTTTCTTTTTTGTGTTTCTGGTGCTTTAATTTTTTTTACACATACATCGTCGACAGTCTCATGTACGTGAATGCAGCTGAATGATAATCACCTGCCGACGTGTGAGCAGGATGTGACGCACACGGTTATCAGTTCTGTGCTCTGGTTTGAGGTTGTGTTTGTTGGACATGTGTTTGTTGTGTGACGAGCAGCAGGAGGAGGAAGTAACAAATGTTCCTCAGCAGGAAACAGACTGAACCACATCTAACTAACTGTGGCTGTAGTGAGCAGAAGGATACAGTCTTTGATGGAGGCCTGTTCGATCCTCTGCAGCTCCGCCTCCACCTGCTTGGAGTACTGCCGCAGGTCAACGCCCTGGAAACAAGTAAATGATGAAGTTATGTGCAGTTCAGCGAGACATTTACAACACACTACACAAATTCTGAATTCCAGAAAGCTTTGACTGGACGCAGGATGAGTCACGTCCCCGAGAGGAGGACGAGTCAAACAGAGAAAAGACCGAGATTTAGATGCAAAAATACCAGGATGTTGGTTTTATTACAAGAGAGAAACAAAGAGTTCACACAGAGACACAGGTTTCAACCTGGAGACATGGATTCATTTAATTCCAGCACTTCCTGTTCAACATTAGTGTTGGGACGCTCTCACCGTTTTGAGCGCCTCCTTCACCAGGTCGTCTTCCAGATTGGCCTGGATGTGAACTGCAGGAGAGGAACAGTGCTGGTGAATCATCGAACTCTCAGGTGACCGATTATGAGCTTTCTCTCATTCTTTCCTTCTGGAGGTTTTACATGTGAGTATATTTGATTGCTCCTGCAGACATGTGCTGTATCACAGGAAGAGATAAACTCACTGTCCACTTCATCCAGGATGTATTCGTCAGTGGTGAGGTCCAGTTCTCCCAGGTTCAGGTTGGCCATGTCTCCGTCGGTCTTCTGGAGGAAACACACACAGCTGTTCACTCAGTCTTCAGCGCTGGATCATTAACAGACATCAGTAAAAGGCTGTGACAGGAAATCATTATTCTTATTAATGATATTTAACAGCAAAAGAGTTGTGAGTGGAACACTGTGCTCTGATGGTCACTTCTTTAGATCAGTGAAGAGGAGACAACATGGTGGAGATCAGTTTAACGTGTAAATAATCATCACATGCACCGAACACGTGTGAAGCTGGGACCAGATTCTGTTTCACATCTTTACTCGTCTGCTCGATTTGACTGATCGATCATCAGCTGATTGACGCAACCAGGAAGTGGTCGAGCTGGGGCTGTTTTGACAGGATGCTAACAGCTAACGTTAGCTCCATTAGCTTCATTAAAACGCAGCCCGAGCTTCACGCAGATTCTCCTGAATCATCCAGGAGCAGTTCGTTAGAAACCAGCGGGCAGAGCCGGGGTCAGTGGGGGGAGCGGAGAGAAGAGTCACCTCATCTTGTAAATAGTCCAGAGCCACTTGTGTCGAGCTTCCTGCTGAGCTCACGTCAGCTGCTGCTTCCTCCGCCATCACGAACTGAAACAGACAAATCAAGTCCCGACGAGCTTCCACCCGATCTGAGGTCTGTGGTTCTGACGAGCGGTTCAGCCTCACGGACCATGAACACTGTGACACCGGCGGATTTGTCGCCTGTAGTTTTTTCGCCTCAACACTAAAACGTTTCTATTCTATTTCTGAACTCTGGTCGGACACATTAAAAGCGACGGACTCACTTCCGCTCGCGCAGGGTGAAACTCTCGCGGGACTGGAGCCACTTCCTCTTCGCACGGAACCTGCTTCAAGATGGTGAGTTTGTCCGGAGAGACTCTGAATCCGTCTTCAATCTGCCTTCATCTCTCTCTGGTTCTGCCTTTTATCGTCATGGCGGATGGTCCAGGTTTCACTGGAGCGGCTGGAAGTTATATTTGTGGTTTATCGGCGGCAGGACGCACGTTATTCGGACAGTTTGAGTGTGAGCTGCGGGGCTCCGGCGTCATGGAGCCGAACTCTCCCACAGGCTGTTCAGTCCATCTCGTTCGGTCCCGGGTTGAAGCGGAGTCGCTCCCGGCCGATGCTCGATGTGTTCTCGGGGTCTGGTGTCGTTGAACTGGTCCAGCTGTGTAAGCTAGCTGTGGTTAGCCGGCTAAGCTAACCATCGCTGGTTCAGTAAGTGACCCGGCTGCTGAGCTCCATGTGTCCGGGTCGTGTTGCTCGCTCCGGCGGATCCAAAGCTTCAGTTTCCCGGGACACAGCTCGGTTACCCCCCCCCCCCCTTTCCTTAATATGAGTTCAGTTCGGCTCCTGTAGTCTCCAAATCTCAGGTGCTCGTCGCCCGTTGATGACGTGTGTTTAACGGGCCCTGCAGTGAACTCCGTGTAAAGATGGTGTCACCTGAACTCTGGAGGTTCTAACCGGCTGCACCACTGATGGAGGATCGTGTTGATGAGTGTTCTCTTCTGTTTTCAGTCTCTGGTCATCCCCGAGAAGTTCCAGCACATTCTCCGTGTTCTCAACACGAACATTGATGGAAGGAGGAAGATCGCCTTCGCCATCACTGCCATCAAGGTACGGTCAGCTGCGGTCTGAGTCACGCTACATTCAAGGGGACGCTCATAACCGGTCAGTGGGTCATTCTGCGTCTTTAAGGGAAAGTTCACTGAAAAAAGAAACTTCAGTCTTTATCTCCTCAGCTCAGTTCTGAAGTTTGTGTTCTACATTAAGTTTCTAGCTCATTTGTACGATCTCATGTTTCCCGTTTCATCTCTTTATCGTTGAACGTCACATGTTCTTGTTTTTGTCATTATTTCATGTGTAACACCGACACTGTTTCCTCCTCAGGGTGTTGGCAGACGTTACGCACATGTCGTCCTGAGGAAGGCCGACATCGACCTGAACAAGAGGGCGGGAGAACTTACTGAGGAGGAGGTGAGACCTGATTTCAGAAATCATTTAAGATGTGAGGAACCGGAGCCGTGAGCTGCAGGTGAAGCCAGTGACGTGGTGTCAGAAACGTGTTCACGTGTCGTAACACACATTGTCCTCAACGTTTCAACTGTCGCTGGTGAATCATCTTCAGAAACCCTGTGGTTGACCTCTGACCTCAGTGTGTGCTCGTAACACAAGGTTCACACTCCATGACCTCATTTTGTGACCTAACTGTTGAGAACATCTTACTTCCTGTGAACTGAGCGTGGTTCCTGACTTTCAGGTGGAGCGGGTGGTGACCATCATGCAGAATCCTCGACAGTACAAAATCCCAGATTGGTTCCTCAACAGGCAGAAGGACGTCAAGGACGGAAAATACAGTCAGGTAGACGAACACGCTCGACTCGTCTGAGTGAACACGAAATTAACAAACATCGCCGGCCTCTGATTTTCAGAACATTTTAAATCAAGTGACTATAACTGAAACATGGTTAAATAAACTTTGAACTTAGTAATTATCACAAGTAATTATCACAAGTCACTAACGTGGCTGCTGCGGCTCAGGAGGTCGACCGAGTGGTTTAATCCCGGCTCCTCTGGTCCACATTTCAAAGTAGGTCAGCTGGTTCACTGTCGTCACGTCAAATGTGGATAAACTTTTCACCACAGGTTCATTCAGTTAAACAGTCGTGTGGTTTTATTGTCACTGTGTCAAACGCTTGAAGTATCTGCCGTTGATGACATCATGACAAACTGTCAGTGACTGGTTGAGCCACTTGTCAGTTTGTTATGAAGCATCTGGAATGTGTTTTAGAGACGAGCGTCGACACAAAGATAAACTGACTTCACACATCGCCTCCAAATTAACTGGTTTTAATCCAGGGTAAAAAAAACTTGATTTAAAAAGCACTTTTCCTCACAAACTGGCAGATTTCTGCCAACGAGTCTTTCCACTGGTTCCAGCGTCAGAAGTAATGATGTCACTTCCTGCTCTGAAATCTGTCAATCACTGTAACTTTGTGCCAAACTTCAGTCAGATGATAAATGATCAGAAGTTCCTCAGTAGGTTTTCTCTTAGTACTTCTCTCTAAAGAGCAAACGACTTTCAGGAAACGTTTCGATCCTGTGATGCTGAAACATCGACTGTTCAACTTAAAGACGTGTTTTTTTTTTAAAAACGTTTTTCCAGACATGTGAAATTGTTCTACCCCCGTCGCTAACTGAAGCAGCGTCCGATCAGTATTGATTACGTGAACTTTGTTAAACCAATGTGTTGACAGCTGGTTTTAATTTCCTCTGACCGTCCTCTCGTCTGGTTTCAGGTCCTCGCCAACGGTCTGGACAACAAGCTGAGAGAAGATCTGGAGAGGCTGAAGAAGATCAGGGCTCACCGTGGTCTGAGGCACTTCTGGGGGTAAGAGATCCGATCCGGTCCAGAGAGGACGAACCTCCTCTGCACTGATCCTCCCGCTTTAAAGAAACTGTTTTATTTCTACAGTTCTGTTTGATCTAACGTCAGAATGTTAAGATAACTGACAGGTAAAATCATTGGAACTAACTTGAACTTGTTCTCTTGTCTCTTTCAGTCTGCGTGTGCGTGGTCAGCACACCAAGACCACCGGCCGCCGTGGTCGCACTGTCGGTGTGTCCAAGAAGAAGTAAAGTCTCCAGCTTCCCCTTGTTTGAATAAAAAGCCACCGTTCACAGAACGTGTCCTGAGTTGTTTGTTCGTGAACCTGATCGTGACTTCCATCATGACTACGTGACAAAGAAAAGTCAACTGATGGTTTGTTTCAAAAAGCTGCTGTTTTCTGGCTCCGTTATGTTGCATCACAATAAAATATTCCTCGGCTCAGCGTGTTAAAGTAAAACAACAAAGGAACCTCGAGGCTGAAAGATCACGTGTCTCCATCACTTTGATCTAAATATGTATATCGCCTCAGCGGCACAAATCAAAGAGCAGCAGAGACAAACACTTCAACGAGTTACTGAAGGTTCCTCACAACTGATTTTAAATCAGCCACATTTACACCAAACATCTGATCAGTAAATCAGTTTATTGTTTTGCGGACAGTATTTAGTGATGAAACAGTGTTCAAGAGTTCACTTTTTCTTAATATACAAATATTCCATAAAAACAGGTGCGGTGGGAAAATGACTGCAGGAAATATAAAGTGCGTAAAGACAGAGGAGGCGTCAGGTCAATGAACCTTAAAAAGGTTTATGGCTTTTGAACAGACATGGTTTTAAAAGGAAACAGCAGCAGGTGAAGTGTCACAGCTACATCTTAATATCAGAGTTCAATAAAACGGCAGCAAAGTTAAAGGCAGAGGTTTTCTAAAGGACATGAAAACATTACATCAGTTATTAAAAGGTACGACAGAGGGCCGGGGCCATGTCTAAGAAAAAAATCAAAGTTCATAAAGAGTCATTTCAGAAATATTGTGACTTTCTTCTCGTAATATCTCAGAATTTTTCCTTCTAAGTGTCTCATACTCATAAAAAGATCGTGGACTAATATCCTGCTGATAAATACCTGAGGACTGATCTTTAAATAGAAACCATCTCTCTGACAGTTCGAACGATCAGCTGAGAGGATCATGATCAGATTCACCTGAACCACAAAACAAGCTCATTAAACGTCGTCAGGACAACCTGACCCACACAGCTGGTTTGAAGAGTCGCAGCCACGAGTGTGTGGATTAAAGAAACGTCGTCAGAACCACAGGCTGTAAATTAAGATCCTGAAAGTGACGCCAAAGCATCTGGATCAGAATCATCTAGAATCAAAGTGGAGTTAAATAAATGTCGCTCAGAGATGGTTCGTGTTAGTGTCCATCTTTACTACTTCTCTAAAGAGGTCACACAGAAGCTTTTGTCTCTAACATTCAATGATTTTCTCAGAGAATAATTTGTGGATCCTCATGAAAACAACATATTTAGTGGACTGATGTTTGTGAGTGTCCGGATCAAGGGAATTCAAATGTGGTTTCATGAGGAGACTGTTGGTGGACGATCTAATTTACAGTCTGTGGAGAAAACATGTTCCAGAGTGGAGTGAAATAAAACCATGATCACTTTGGTTCACACTGTTTAAAGCTGATCAAACTAAACTAACACCAACAACGAGCTGCAGTCCTTTCATTTAGAAACGTAACTACACAGATCGATTCTGTCAGAACTCAACATGACTTTTTATTATTATTAAAACAATGTTTAGAACCAGCTCATGTTCTGTGAAAATCTAAAACTCGATCTTCACAAACACTTTCTCACATTCAGGTTTTTTTTCTTTTAGCAAGATTTTTTTTCCTCCTGACAGAAAATGAAAGTAGAATTTAAATGAGCATGTCTACATAATGAGAAGCTATTTTTACTTACGTTGTTGTGACACAAATAAATACTCGTAAGAAGAGTCGGAGAACTGAAACTTGTTTGGCACCGTACGGAAAAAAACCTTTACATTTGTGCGTTTGTTAATTTGTAAGTAATAAGATAAAAACAGGAACTCCACGACCAACGACCAGAGTTTAAATCACCAGCTGATGTTGAGTCGTTTGATTTTCTTTCAATCTTAAGATTCAGTTTTACAGATTAAATCAAAGCAGAGTTAACGTCAGGAGAAAAAACTAAAACAGACGCCAACGATGTGAAAATGGCAGCTGCTGACCTTCCATCCTCAAACAGAAGACGTGTGTGAGGAGAAGTGGAGGAGACGGAGAGAGCAGTGCACTCGTCTTCCTCATCCCTCTCTCTGAGGAGGTGGAGTCTTCTGCTGGGCGGGTGGCGCCGGCTGCTGGTCCTTGGTGGGGGCGTAGTAAAGCTCCAGCGGCTTCCTGACCTTCCAGAACTTCTCGTTGACCAACTCCAGAGTCAGAGATCCGTTCAGCGTCTTGAGAGAAAGAAGAGTTTTAACATTTGACCTCTGCAGGTTGGTTCCTTTACCTCAGGTTATGTTTCCAGTTTCTTTGTCAGTCAGCTAGTTAGTTAGCTGGTTAGTCAGCTAGTTAGTTAGCTGGTTAGTCAGCTAGTTAGTTAGCTGG